GGGGAGGAACCTAGCTGGCAGGGGCCCAGGCTTCCCATCTCCCTTCAACCAGGACAGTTTGGCTTTTATCTATTTTATATTTTGGATTTCTACATAGTTCTTACTTTAGAATCTTAGGTAACCCACTGTCACTTACTCACTTCCCCCAAAGACATAAGATCTTTTCTTTCAACCTAAAAGGAAAAAAATCTAATATTTACCATGTGAAAAACTGTACTAAATTTTTTATATTTGTTTAACTTATTTAATTCTCAACAACTATATAGAAGAACTGAGGATTGGAGCTGCCACTACATAAGCCACATAGCTATGGCACCCTGATTCCTGAGCCTGTGCTGTGCCTACCCAGAAATATACTTATTTTATGTCTCTTATCATGATAATATTTTACTGCCCTTCTTTGTGTAAATAAACCCAGAAGAAGACTATAGTTGTTGTCTTCTTACATAACACTCACTATTATGAACCCTCTATCTCAAAGTGGACCAAGTTTTGTTGGTCACACTTGTCCTGAGCTTTTCTGACTCCATGCTTGTTTGTGCTATTTCCTCTAGAGTGTTTTCTATCAGTACTTATAGTGTCACCTATCAGAACCTACCCACCTTTGTTATTTTAACTTGTATTTCTTTTTTTTTTTTTAATATTCCATTGTATGAATATAGCACATTTTGTTTACCTGTTCATCAGTTGCTGGGCATTTGAGTTGTTTCTCCTTTTTGGTTTTTATGAATACTGCTGCTGTGAACATTTGTGTACAAGTTTTTGTGTGGACATATGTTTTCATTTCCCTTGGGTGTACAGCCTAGGAGCCAACTTGCTGGATCATATGGTGACTCAATATTTAGCCGACTGAGGATAAAGTAGGATTTTTAAAAAATTTTAATTAATTAATTAACTTATTTTTGGCTGTGTTGGGTCTTCGTTGCTGCGTGTGGGCTTTCTTTAGTTGCAGTGAGCGGGGGCTACTGTTCGTTGCGGTGCGCAACCTTCTCATTGCGTTGGCTTCTCTTGTTGCGGAGCACGGGCTCTAGGCGCATGGGCTTCAGTAGTTGTGGCACGTGGGCTCAGTAGTTGTGGCTCGCAGGCTGTAGAGCACAAGCTCAGTAGTTGTGGCTCACGGGCTTTGTTGTTCCGCGGCATGTGGGATCTTCCCGGAGCAGGGATCGAGCCTGTGTCTCCTGCATTGGCAGGTGGATTTTTAACCACTGCACCACCAGGGAAGTCCCTAGCTTGTATTTCATCATTACGTTTTAAGTCTCTTGAAGGGAGAAAGGCCAATGTTTTATATCTTTCTCTGTCCCTGCAGCTTCTTTTATAGTGATTTAAACATTATAGGACTAGGGCTTTATTGGCGTTCATGAAGAGAGATGATTCAAAGATTACTTTAAGGCATTTTCATTGATAGCTTGTAAAAATTGCAGTAGCATTGATAGAAATAGGAACCCTTAAGGGAAGGAAAAAATAACTTCTGGTTTTTAATGACTTAATAATGTGGAGATGACACTGGAATCATCCAAAAGAAATGTGCTATAGAAAATAATCCAGGGACTTCCCTGGCAGTCCAGTGGTTAAGACTTTGGCTTCCAGTGCTGGGGGTGTGGGTTCAAACCCTGGTTGGGGAGCTAAGATCCCACATGCCTCAGGGCCAAAAAACCAAAACATAAAACAGAAGCAATATTGTAGCAAATTCAATAGAGACTTTAAAAATGGTCTACGTCAAAAAACAAATTTTAAATAAATAAATAAAAAGAAAAGTAGTCCAGGTGAATGTTCAGAGTTGGTGATGTATATGGGGGTGAGTAAAATATAGGCAGTAATTAAAACCATGAAAAAAAATGAATTTCAAGAGCATGAGTCAAAAGAGCAGAGTAGTGAGGACAGAACTTGAAATGTAGAGGGGAAAAGAAGAGCCAACAAAAGAAATTGGAAGGATCATGTCATATGACAGGAGAAAAATTGGCAACTTGTTATGGAAGCCAAAGGAGGGAAGAAAGCACTCCCTAACACTGGAAATAAGGACTGAGAAGAATCCATTGCATTTGACTAGTGAGAGGTTGTTAGTGATATTCAGTAATTTCAGTAGGATGGCAGTTTGGAAGCTAGAAAGGAACCCAGCAGAGAAGACATCATTATGTGAATAAAGTCCCATGGGAGGAACTCAAAGGAAATTTCAGGAGGATAGTTGCAAATCACTAATATACTGAGGTAAAGTGCAGGGAAATGAGATCATTCATGTTCGATGAACTTTACTTTTTCAAGATAGAACGTGGATAATAGATGAGTAGTAGGTAAAGGAATAAGGAGTTAATGGCATGAGGAGTTAATATAAGAGGGCTATGAAGGGATGTTCTTGAAAAATAAAAAGAGCAAGGTTAAATAAAGTATACTATGTATCTTTGGGCTATGAGTCTGCAGAGACTTGGGTTTTCTATTTTTTCCTTCAGCTTACGACATAAGCAAGAGAGTAAAAGAAACCTGTGATGGCACCTACAGGGTTAATAAGGGTTTGCCCAGTAAAGGGTAGTAAGGGCGATAGTTTATTGTTGAGGTAGTAGGGAGAAAGACAGGAATAATGTGTAGTCAGAACTGAATACTTCAAATTTGTTGAATAAAGATACTGGGAAGTTAGGTTAGGTGGTGGTAGTAAAAGGGTAGGAGATGAATGGCTAGTAAACAGCTGTGGTTGGGAGAGGTGGTCCTTGAGAGAGGAGCAATATTGTAGCAAATTCAATAGAGACTTTAAAAATGGTCTACGTCAAAAAACAAATTTTAAATAAATAAATAAAAAGAAAAGTAGTCCAGGTGAATGTTCAGAGTTGGTGATGTATATGGGGGTGAGTAAAATATAGGCAGTAATTAAAACCATGAAAAAAAATGAATTTCAAGAGCATGAGTCAAAAGAGCAGAGTAGTGAGGACAGAACTTGAAATGTAGAGGGGAAAAGAAGAGCCAACAAAAGAAATTGGAAGGATCATGTCATATGACAGGAGAAAAATTGGCAACTTGTTATGGAAGCCAAAGGAGGGAAGAAAGCACTCCCTAACACTGGAAATAAGGACTGAGAAGAATCCATTGCATTTGACTAGTGAGAGGTTGTTAGTGATATTCAGTAATTTCAGTAGGATGGCAGTTTGGAAGCTAGAAAGGAACCCAGCAGAGAAGACATCATTATGTGAATAAAGTCCCATGGGAGGAACTCAAAGGAAATTTCAGGAGGATAGTTGCAAATCACTAATATACTGAGGTAAAGTGCAGGGAAATGAGATCATTCATGTTCGATGAACTTTACTTTTTCAAGATAGAACGTGGATAATAGATGAGTAGTAGGTAAAGGAATAAGGAGTTAATGGCATGAGGAGTTAATATAAGAGGGCTATGAAGGGATGTTCTTGAAAAATAAAAAGAGCAAGGTTAAATAAAGTATACTATGTATCTTTGGGCTATGAGTCTGCAGAGACTTGGGTTTTCTATTTTTTCCTTCAGCTTACGACATAAGCAAGAGAGTAAAAGAAACCTGTGATGGCACCTACAGGGTTAATAAGGGTTTGCCCAGTAAAGGGTAGTAAGGGCGATAGTTTATTGTTGAGGTAGTAGGGAGAAAGACAGGAATAATGTGTAGTCAGAACTGAATACTTCAAATTTGTTGAATAAAGATACTGGGAAGTTAGGTTAGGTGGTGGTAGTAAAAGGGTAGGAGATGAATGGCTAGTAAACAGCTGTGGTTGGGAGAGGTGGTCCTTGAGAGAGGATTTAGCCCCTCTGGTATGTAACTGTTTGTAATGATGCTGGAAATAAATATTCATGAAAGATAATAAGGCCTTCAAGCTTGAAGAATAATCTTATGAATATTGATATGACCAAGGATGATTTTGGGGACAAGACAGAAAAGGAAAAAAATAAGAGTTGCTAAAATAAACGAGTCCTGGGAATCATTGGAAACTGTAGAGAAGACTAAGGGGTTTTTGAGCAGTTTTCCTCCAGTGCAGTTCAGCAAATGAAAGCCTGTGTCCACTGTGTTAATGAGCTTAGTGCGGGAATAAAGAACAAGATCAAAATCATCATCTTTATTGATAACTGAGCAGGGAGGACAGTGTAACTTTCTTCTTCAACCTAAGCAGCTGTCTTTATCGCTCATACATATTGAACTTGTGCATATGCTTTCATTTGAAAAATGGGTTCAAAGTGAAAGAAAAGTAACTCAAGTATTACTGACAGAACAGCAAAAGGCATATTTGCCATTAAACAGTTACTGTCCAGGTGCAGAGGCTTGGTATAGCTTTGTTACTGCACTGCCTTGTAGTTCTTCATTGCCAGAGCCTAAGCCAAAGTCCAAAATGTTAGGACTTGAATCTCAGACAGTTGGTAATTACAATAGCAATTGTAAACATTTATTGAGCTTACATTTTAGTCAACATGCTATGTATTTTATATGCATTTGCTCATTTGATCTTTACAGTAACCTTTCAAGGTGGTCTTTTATCACCAGTTTACAAATGGGCAAAGTGAGGCTCAAAGTGTCCAAAGTCACCAACAAGGAATAGAGATGCTGGGACTTGAAGTTGGGTATTTGTCTTCAGAGCTTGAGCTCTTGGTCATTACTCTATAAGGCTTATTGAAGGCTTATTGAATGTTTCTAATGCTGAGGGCCCCGGCTCAATCCCTGGTTGGGGAACTAAGATCCCGCAAGCCGTGTGGCACAGCCAAAAAAAAATAAAATCAAAGAACAATAATTTTAAAAATTGGAAACTTGTGACACCTTTAAAAGTGATACATAAAATAGATAAAAGCAAAGGTGCTCTGAGATTGAAGTAGTCATCAGGCTAGTCACTCCCACCGGCATCTGGACCTGGCTGCCCGGTCCTGAGATCTTCCACATGGACCTCCTGCCAGGGAGCTCCCCGAGCTCCAGGTGTGTCCATGTGGCCGTGCTCTGGCCAGGACGTCACATCTCCTGACACGTCCTGCCCATCAGCAACCTGGGGGAGCCCTGCTGATCCTCTGCACACCGGCTCCACGGTCACTCCTACTCACCCACCTGGAAACAGGAACCCCCCCTAGCCTCCCCCGCACCGAGCCCCCACATGGCATACCTGTCCTGGCAATGTGCTGTGGAGGACAAGTGGACATCAGGGCTTGCAAAGTACCCTAGGACAGTGGTCCCCAACCTTTTTGGCACCAGGGACTGGTTTCGTGGAAGACAGTTTTTCCATGGACGGGGGTGGGGGTGGTTCAGGAGGTAACGCGAGCGATGGGGAGTGGCAGATGAACCTTCGCTCCCTGGCCCGATGCTCACCGCCTGCTGTGTGGCCTGGTTTCTAACAGGCCGCAGCCCCAGGGTTGGGGACCCCTGCCCTAGGAGACACCACAAGATGCCATGTTTCCCAAAGCAAGAACAAAAGGGTTTTCACATTGTTTCCAGGACAAAAGACAGTCCTAGAGATGCAAAGATGATGTGCCCTCCCAGGGTTCCAACAGCTCACAAAGGTCCCAAGAGACGTAATTCAGGACCCCTCCCTCACCCAGGTGTTTGCTCTTAACAGTGAAAAAAAAAAAGTGATCGTCCTGTGGGAGCTGGAGCTATGCCCTGTCCCTCTTCCTGACTCATTGCTCCAGAGGTGTCTATGGGAAATCTACGGGTTCCTCTGAGCATATTCTGAGATTTAGAGCCTTAGAAATAAGGGTAATATGTAACAGTATGTTAAATTAATTCATTGATTTTCCATAAAGAATATCAATCATTCAAAATGCACAGTTGATATAATGTTTATTTCCTGACTTTTTAAATTTAAAAAATGTATCACAGCTGTTATAACACTTAAAAGACTGAATGATTTATCCAGTGTAATTCATATACAAAGCTTCCTGACTTTGCTTTATTGGCTTAAGTGTGTTATATTAATGCTGAAAATAAATCTAAAATTGTCTGCCTTCTTGTTGATAGTTAAATAGGACCACTAATATTTTTCTTTTTTAAAACAGGGATTGTTTGGCATTTTGTACGGAACCAGTTTTTGCCAGCTTAGCCAATGTTCTGGGTAACTGGGAAAATCTACCTTCCCCTGTATCTCCAGATATTAAGGATTATAAACTTTATGATGTAGAAACTAAATATGGTTTGCTTCAGGTATGTATTTTTATTCATCATGTGGATAGAATATTTTCCTTCAAAACTGTTTTTAGCCATTTCAAATTTAGCTGTATAAACTGCTTTATGTAAACCTTTAGATCTTCTGAGTAATTTAAAAATTATTTCTATGTTCTAGAATTTTTCTACAGTTTATTGTTAGGCTTAAACTATCTTTTTAATGTATGAAACATAACATTAGTAACCTTTGGAGAAGAGCACTTGTTGACTGGCGGATGTGGTGGTTCCTTTTTAATGTTTTTGAATTGTAAACCTTCACAGTGCATCCGTTAAATCCATCCACTTTTTCTGATTTTCCTTCCCCTGCTTACCAAAATGTCTTTGGCTTTAGAGAGTGAATTGATACAGTAGATTCTTTGTTTTTTGGGGGCAGAGATCATTTTATTCATTATTTTTAACAGTATTGTTAAGGTATAATTAATTGGCATACAGTAAACTTCACATGTTTAAAATATACAGTTTTTTAAGTTTATAGGTGGAACCGTCACTACAATCAAAACAATTTACATATGGACCTTCCAAAGTTTCCTCATACCCATTGCGGTCCTCCCCTCCTGCTCCTTGCTGTCTTCTGTCTCTCACCCCAGGAAGCCACTGACTACTTTCTGTCACTAAATCAGTTTGTATTTTTAGAATTTTGTAAATGAAATCATATAATATGTACTCTTGTTCTGGCCTGACTTCTTTCAATCAATCTGATTATTTTGGTATTCATTCATATAGTTGTGCATATCAATACTTCTTTTATTACTGAGTAGTATATCATAGTTTGCTCATCCATTCACCTGTTGATGATCATTTGGGTTGTTTCCAATTTTGGGCTATTGCAAATAAAGCTGCTACGAACATTCATGTGCAAGTTTTTGTATGGACGTATGCTTTCATTTCTCTTGGTTAATTACCGAGGAGTGGAATGGCTGAATCAAATGGTATGTGTATATTTCATTTTTTAAGAAACTGAAAAACTGTTTTCCAAATGATAGTACCATTTTACATTCCCATTGCAGTGTATAAAAGTTACATTTTTTTCACATCTTTGCAAAACTTAGTATGGTTGGCTCTTTCAATTGTAACCATTCTTTTTTTGTGTGGGATCTTAGTTCCCTGACCAGGGATTGAACCCAGGCCCTCGGCAGTGAAAGCATGGAGTCCTAACCACTGGACCACCAGGGAATTCCCTCAATTGTAGCCATTCTAATATGTGTGCAGTGGTATCTCATTGGAGTTTTAATTTGCATTTCCTTAATGAATAATGATGTTGAACACCTTTTTATATGCTTCCTTGCCATCTGAGTGTCTTTTTTGGTGACGTGTCTGTTCAGATATTTTGCTTATTGTTTAAATGGGTTGCTTGTTTTCTGTTATTGAGTTTTGAGATTTCTTTATATATTGTGGACACAAGTTCTTTTTCAGATACATGACTTTAAAATATTCTCTCTTAGTCTGTGGCTTATCTTATTCTCTTAACAGTATATATTTTCTAATTGTGGTAAAATACACATAACATAAAATTTGCCATCTTAGCCATTTTTAAGTGTACAGTTTAAGTACATTCACATTCTTGTGCAACCATCACTTCCATCCATCTCCAGAACTCTTTTCACCTTGCAAAATTTAAGCTGTACCCATTAAACAATAACTCCCCACACCCCACCTCTCATACCTCCCAGCCCCTGGCAACCATCATTCTACTTTCTGTCTCTATTAATTTGACTACTCATATAAGTGGAATCATGCAGTATTTTTCTTTTTGTGACTGGTTTATTTCAGTTAGCATAATATCCTCTAGGTTCATCCATGTGGTAGTGTGTGTCAGAATTTCTTTCCTATTTGAAGGCTGAATAATATTCTGTTGTATGTATTTACCACATTATGTTTATTCATTCATTCGTTGATGGACACTTGGGTTGCTTTCACCTCTTGGTTATCGTAATACTGCTATGAACATGGGTGAACAAATATCTCTTCAGGACCCTGCTTTCAGTTCTTTTTGGGATATACCCAGAAGTGGAATTGCTGGTTTCTATGGTAATTCTATTTTTAAGTTTTTGAGGAACTGGCATACTTGGTATGGTTGGCTCTTTCAAATCCAGTTTTCACTTTTTGTTAACAAATTCCATGGTAATCTCAGGCACAAATATAAAATTACCAAATAATTAATCCAGTGTGAGAATGAGTGAACATCAGTTAATGTTTGAAAACTGAGCACAATGCTATTCAGAAAAACTTAATTTCAATATGAAGTATAAGTATATAAAAATATTAAGAATTAGAATCAAATTGACAGAGGTATTTCTTGATATTTACTGTCTTTAAGTAAGAAACCGAAGATTCTCTCGCTTTTCAAATTCAGGAACTGAATAAATTTGGGTAGCAAAGTGCTTTTATTACTGTCTTTTCTTTTGCTTTTGTGCATATAGAAAGGAACTTAATAAATAGTTGTCCTCTGTTTTTACAATTGGGTTTTTCTTGCTAATGCTTAGAATGCTCTGGCAACTGAGAATATCTACACTTTTGCATTTATGAAATTTAATTGTTACCTGGCGTGTAAAAAATTTTTATTGGGAGAAGCAGCAAATTTGATTATTATGAGACTTATTATTGTAATTGAAAGGAGTTTTATTAAAAATGTCTTTTATTTCCATTTATAGGTTTCTGAAGGATTGTCATTTTTGCATAGCAGTGTGAAAATGGTTCATGGAAATGTTACACCTGAAAATATAATTTTGAATAAAAGTGGAGCCTGGAAAATAATGGGCTTTGATTTTTGTATATCATCGACCAATCCTTCTGAACAGGAGGTAATGAAGGTTTTATTCTTCTCATTTTTTAAAGCTCTGGAAATTTGTGATTGCATCTGGAATAGATTAGAGAATTTATAAGCCTGATAAATGTGTAGAAATAGGCTATGTGGTACAATGGTATGTTTAAATGTATAGCTTTATAGAAAATTTCTAGTGTTCATTGTACCTATGAATATTTAGCTCATTAATTCCTCAGTAATGTTACTTGAGAAGAAAGTACTAGAGTTAAGCAAATTGGAGCACTATTGGGTTAAGTAGGTTTTTTTCCCTCAGAGTGTCAGATACACAAACAAACATTGTCAATCTCTAGCCCTGTTTCCCCAGTTTATTGGATCACAGAATCTTCTTTAAGGAGCATGATAACAAGAGCAGTGATAATAATGGGTAACATTTATTGAAGCGCTTTTCTGAACACTTTTTGTGTATTTACTTATTATCCTCACAACGACTCAGTGAGGTATGGGAATAATATAGATGAGTAAGTTAAACTCATAGAATAAAATAATTTGCCTAAATTTAGGCAAGTGGTAAGTGGTAGAGCTAGGATTTAAACCCAGTCTTTCTGGTTAAAAAGCACCTGTTACTTAGTGATTATGAAACCTGCCTATTTATACTTAGGAAAACACTGCAATATTTCAAATTTTTACAATATAGTTGTTACCTTTAACAGCCATGCTTTGACCTAAAATATATTTCTAATTTAAGTAAGCATTTTTAAGGGAAGCAGAAAGAATTAGTATTGGTTGAGTACATACTATGCATCAGGCACTGTGCTGGCTCTATTTTCCATACATTTGTTTATCTTACAACATCCCTTTGAACCTGTTAACTAAATCACATAGCTAGTTGGTGAAAGAACAAGGTTTCAAACAATAATCTATTTGAACTCATAAATTTTAAGTCTGTGTATCAGAAAACATAGGCCAGACCTCTCCATATTCATAATGCATTGTATAGTGTAGTGATAATTTGTCTTCTGGGAGAGAACGCCAATAATCTCAAAGTTATAAGAGTTCTTATTCTTATCTCTTAACTTGTTTCATGCACTTTCCAGTTTGGGGATTTGGGGAAATTTAGAATTGAAAGTGATGGTGACATTTTTACTTGCATGACTGAGTATGAATTTAAAACTAAATTTTTACTACTTGACAGTGGTTTGCTTTAATTTAACTATTTAATGTATGTAATCCCTTTTCTGTCTTTTTATAGCCTAAGTTTCCATGTAAAGAATGGGACCCAAATTTACCATCATTGTGTCTTCCAAATCCTGAATATTTGGCTCCTGAATACATACTTTCTGTGAGCTGTGAAACAGCCAGTGATATGTACTCTTTAGGAACTGTCATGTATGCTGTATTTAATAAAGGGAAAGCTATATTTGAAGTTAACAAGCAAGATATTTACAAGAGTTTCAGTAGACAGTTGGATCAGGTATTTGCCTTTAAACATTTTCTTGCATTAAAAATGTATTAAGTGTTTGGTTTTTTCCAAAATATGTTCAGAAAATTCTCTAAACTGAGATGAGTGTCTCATATTTTAAGTTTTCATAAAGTCAACAAAAGTAATTCTTAGGATTAATATTTGTTACTACAACTTTAATCATGGCATTTATTTACTAGAGTGAAAATTGAAATATGGTCTAAAATACTGGGTGTTTTGTTTTAGGAACAGAGACAATTTCAGGTATTAAAGATGTGTTTTAATTATCTTGCAACAGTAGAATTAGCCATTTGTTCAATCTAAAAATACATTTTTTAGTAAATTTCAAAAAGTTTTCTTTTTTTTTTTAAATTTATATGTTATTATTTTTGGCTGCATTGGGTCTTCGTTGCTGCACGTGGGTTTTCTCTAGTTGCAGTGTGCAGGGGCTACTCTTTGTTGCGGTATGCAGGCTTCTCATTGTGGTGGCTTCTCTTGTTGCAGAGCCCGGGCTCTAGGCGCACGGGCTTCAGTAGTTGTGGCACTTGGGCTCAGTAGTTGTGGCTCGTGGGCTGTAGAGCGCAGGCTCAGTAGTTGTGGTGCACGGGCTTTGTTGCTCCGTGGCATGTGGGATCTTCCTGGACCAGGGCTCAAACCCATGTCCCCTACATTGGTAGGCGGATTCTTAACCACTGCACCACCAGGGGAGTCCCTCAAAAAGTTTTCTTAAATGGACTATTGATAGTATAAATGTGTATCTTTTGAATATTTTATATTCATATTTAACATTATTACTCTTTTGAAGTTGAGTCGTTTAGGATCTAGTTCACTTACAAATATACCTGAGGAGGTCCGTGAGCATGTAAAACTACTGTTAAATGTAACTCCAACTGTAAGACCAGATGCAGATCAAATGACAAAGGTGAGTGCATATGAATTCCTGCCTTAGATGGAGGGACAAAAAATAAGTTAAAGTTGATTAAATGCATCTGAAGATTTAATCAGATATAGTCCCCAGATAACATCTGTATTTTTGAATGTATTAAATATTCATCTTCTTTTAATCTTAAAGAGTTAAACAATTTATGCAGGTAAGTGCTCTGATATAAAGTTTAAGATTTCAAATAAAGAGACCTAATAGTTACAGTTAGGCATGCAGAAGTTCTAGACACCCCAAGAATTCATAGCCCTCAAATTCACTCATATAACCAATGGATTTTTTTTTAATGTTTGTTTGTTTGTTTGTTTATTTATTTATGGCTGTGTTGGGTCTTTGTTTCTGTGTGTGGGCTTTCTCTAATTGTGGCAAGCGGGGGCCACTCTTCATCGCAGTGCGCGGGCCTCTCACTATCGTGGCCTCTGTTGTTGCGGAGCACAGGCTCCAGGCGCGCAGGCTCAGTAATTGTGGCTCACGGGCCCAGTCGCTCCGTGGCATGTGGGATCTTCCCAGGCCAGGGTTTGAACCCGTGTCCCCTGCATTGGCAGGCAGACTCTCAACCACTGCACCACCAGGAAAGCCCCTAACCAGTGGATTTTAATGAATTGTACTGTTTATGCCCTCAAGATATTTTACTTAATCTTTTAATATTTTACTAGTTATGTAAAGAAAATGTTACTGTGCAGCTAACTCACAGGTACTGTTTCTGAAAAACTGACCTTGAAAAGAAAAATAATTTATTACTTTCTTATTCTGATTTTTATAATTAGAATTTTTATTAAGTGGTCTTTAGCATTTCGCTAAATGTTTCTGAATATTTTTTCACCATCATGTGTCAGTTTCAGATATGAGAAGTACTTTAATACTTATCAGAATTATTCTGTTTCTCTGTTTTTAGATTCCCTTCTTTGATGATGTTGGTGCAGTAACACTGCAGTATTTTGATACCTTATTCCAAAGAGATAACCTTCAGAAATCACAGTTTTTCAAAGGACTGCCAAAGGTTCTGCCAAAACTGCCCAAGGTTTGTTGTTGATCAGTTTGTTATTATTTAGTCAGGAGTATAGAATTTAAAATTTACTTTGACTTACTATAATAACCCTTCCAAAAAAAAAAAAATGTAACTTTTGCCAGGGGTATATAAATGACTATAAAAGGCTACAGACTGAAGTCACAAAAGTTTAGTGGACCTTTTTGTGTGCTCCAAAAATTATTAAATAGGGTAAAAAATTGGAAGGATACCACCTATGCAAAGGCAGCACTTGGACATTAAACATCAGAAGAGAAGTCCGTAAACTGTCATTGTGGAAGTCACTGCCTCACTAGCAGTTATACTGCTGTATTGATACTAGTCTCTCCAATTCCTTTACTCTCCCTTTCTGGCTTATTAAATCGTGAGGATAATATGGTCTAAAAATATTAGTGATTGCTAAAGAAGCCACTGGCTGGAAAACTAGTAATTCCTTTGCAGAAATATCTCCAGTGTTTAATCTATCAGATATTCATTGGTTATGCACTGTTTGTCTAGCCCTTTACTTAGATGCTGTGGAGAATAAATGGGAAACAAAATAATGTCCTTGCTTTCAAGGGCTTTACAGTAAGTGTAGATAGGGTTAACGAGCATGAAACAACAATTAACAATGTGTGGTATGAATCATAAGTAATGAAGAAATTAAGAGGAGAACTGTGTTAGTGAAGACTAATTGGGGAAGATTTCCTAAAGGAAGGGTAATCGTATGTCCCCCTTTATCTGTGATGTTCCCAAGTTATGTCTTTTGCCCTGGCATAATTAGCAATAGCACCCTATTTTACTCTCAAAAGTGTCCCAGTTTCAACTATAAATTATATAGTCACCTTACCCAAAGGGATTGAAGATTTTAGACTCTTAACTTCAATGTTAATACTAAAGACCTGATATAAAGATTAGTTTTATGAAAACATTTTTTGCCTTTCAGCGTGTCATTGTGCAGAGAATTTTGCCATGTTTGACTTCAGAATTTGTAAACCCTGACATGGTACCTTTTGTTTTGCCCAATGTTCTACTCATTGCTGAAGAATGTACCAAAGAAGAATATGTCAAGTTAATTCTACCTGAACTTGGCCCTGTCTTTAAACAGCAGGAGCCAATCCAGGTATGTATGTAGATATTTTTTTCCTGTTTATTCAATGGTCTTAGTCAATGATAACTATCATTGAAAAGAAAAGGAAAGGATATTTGACTTTTTAAAAATTGAGATAAGTATGAGAGACTTTCTTTTCCATTAGTTAGAAGCTATTTTGCATATGTTTGAAGTGAACCATTCCTAAAATTATAATTGAACTTTGCAAATAAATGTCTGTAGCTCTCCACAAGTTACTGTCTCAGAAAACAAATTGTAATGAGATTTTGCATGTGTTATATTGTTCCTATTGCCTTATTGAAAGTTACAGGTTTAGGAAAATAAGTATTTATTTTTCTCCTGCACTTTTAAGTATTTCTGTTTTTTTGTTTTGTTATTAAGAGTCTTTAATTTGTAGATGGTTTATGCCAGTTGTTTCTCTTTATTTTATTGCTAATAAATAGTTTCACCAGAAGAGGAGAAATGCTTCCAGCACCATGGAAGTAATATGTGTGTGTATGTATTGTTAAGGGAAAATTTAATTAGTCTCTGATATAGACGCTATTAAAATATTTATTTGCCAGATTCAAGGTAGACTTGGATTTAAGAGAGCAGTAGGGTCACATACCTGGGTTAGAATCTTGCCTTCTTCATCTCCTTGGACAAGTCATTGCTCTCTTAAAGTTTCTGTTTTGCTCATTTCTGAAATGTGAAAAGGGTTGTTGAAATTAAATGAAATTTTCTGGCACATGGTAAATATTATTAAGTTTCTGCTACTACATGGCAAGAGCTTATTGGTAAACCATTGATTACCTGATTTAATGGTTTTATGACAGACTGTTTGTGGTCCTTCCATTGAAAGGAGGGTAACAGAAGGAAGTCTGTGGTACTAAGACAGGAGTTCCCCTGCTTAAGGAAAGGGCAGGTGAGAGAACTGTAGGCTTCGAAGCAGAGTTCTCCAATCATGGTCAAGGTGTCAGGAGGGAAAGGAGTGGAGTCCCATGGTCACTAAGCTATGCATCAGATAGGATCCTAAGGAACCTATCATCTGAGCTCTTATTTCTCTTCGTTCTTTGTTTTTTTTTTCCCTTAGTAGTAGTAGTAGTAGTAGTAGTAGTAGTAGTCTAGCTAAAAATCCCTTCTAAAAAATTTTAACTGAGCCTTGACAAAACTAAGTATTCTGCCTGGATAGAAGGGATAGTTTCTTCCTTATTACTTACGTATGTGGTGGCAAACAAATGATCAGGGACAATTGAAAATGTTTGTAGAATTTTTCCTGACAGTCCTTTTCATTTCTGTACCTTTTCTTCTCTTGAACTTTATGGAAGCCCAGTGATGGAATTTACTTCTTTGGGACATCTGACTTTGCTGCCCTCAGGCTTTTATTTTTTTACCCGGTAGCTTTGCAGATAGTTGGTACTTGTGGGTGAGTGATGTATTACTGAAGATATGTGAGAGTTAGGAAATTAGTCTTTATTTAAATGTTTAAACTGAGAGCAGATGTTAAATATAGTGCTTCTAGAAACATAAGAGACTTGATTTATATGTTTTTGTCTTCCATGCCTTCAGGCTAGCAACATGGTGAGTGTCAAAATACATAATTTATTCTTTTGAAGCTACTTTAAATTTTGACATGTATAAAGTGTCAAAAAGATTCTAGACTTTAATACATTGTTTGCCTTTTCTACACAGATTTTGTTAATTTTCCTCCAAAAAATGGATTTGCTACTAACCAAAACTCCTCCTGATGAGATAAAGAACAGTGTTCTGCCTATGGTTTACAGAGCCCTAGAGGCTCCTTCCATTCAGATCCAGGTATAATATTCAATTTTTTTCCTTTAATGCTGATTTTGATTCTTAAAGCAAAAGAAAGAAGTAAAGTACCTTTTAAGTTTGTCATAATTTTTTTAATATAAAGCTCAATAGTATATATTAATCCATTGAATTGCATGATGTATACTACTACTAGTGTGTTCACTCCTAACTAATTTGAAGAATCAATTGATGAACACCTGTATTAATAAAGTAAAATGATTTGTTGCTTTTACTTATCAGTAATGTACTATTATAGAAGGTTTGATTTGTTGTAGTTTGGATTGCTGTATACCTTCTTCCTAAATGAGTAATTAATATATGAATGAAAATGACAAAGATGTATGTGCCTTTTTCTTATGAAAGCGTTAAGTAGGTACTTCTCATACTCATAATTTTCTTTCATGTTTGGTAACTCAGTCTTCTATTCAGAAATGTTCCTTTTGCATTGCAGTTAATTTGTATAGGAGGTAGGTAGAAAAGCAGATAGTAATTTAGTGTGACCATCCCTAATGCATTTATAGTCATGCTTTTGTGTTACAAACGTGCTGTTAAAACATCACGTACTTTGCCAAACTTTTAGTTCTGTAATTTTGCTACTAAAATTTTGGTTCTATGGGTTATCTGGAAAATAATTTTTGGATTGCTATTAAAAGTATAATTTAGTTTGAGCTTTTTTTCTCACTTTGGAAAATAAATACTTATGTTAAGAACATCTCACTGCATAAAAGGTGTCATATTTAAAAGTTCATGGTCTCTTCACCAGTGCAAAGATTCTAGTAAAGAAAAACAAAGAATTTTACTTTTTTTTTTCCGCGATACACGGGCCTCTCACTGTTGTGGCCTCTCCCGTTGCGGAGCACAGGCTTCGGACGCGCAGGCCCAGCGGCCATGGCTCACGGGCCCAGCCGCTCCGCGGCATGTGGGATCTTCCCAGACCGGGGCACGAACCCGTGTCCTCTGCATCGGCAGGCGGACTCTCAACCACTGCGCCACCAGGGAGGCCCAGAATTTTACTTTTTATAAGTTATTGACCAAAGCTTTTTTTTTTTTAAATGAACCTAATACCACACATATAAGGTCACTTGTTTGACTCATTTCAGTCCTTTTATTTAGTTTAGTTTTATTTTATTTTAGTTATTTATTTAGTTTTCTTTTATTCCAAGTTGTGAAGTTGATGTTAAAAATTTTCCTTATAACGTCATCTCTTGCTGCCTTTGTCCAAATGACGTGGAATGATTGGGGAAGGTACTTACTATTACTTTTAAATGCTTTCCAAAGGAATTGTGAATTATAGCTTCTTGAAACGTTCCCACAGGCCCTGTGTAGTCAACCTGGTTTTATATTCAGTGAAATTAGGGAGGAGAGGGAGGATCGAGTGATGTGAAAGGTCATTTTTCTTCCTAAGGGGGTTAGTTTGGCCAATAAGTTACCAGCAAGTATTTTATTTAAAGTTAATACATAATTCAAATTGAGTTGTGCACTTTGCCAAGTTTTAGAAACTAGCATTTCTGATATCATTCAATATAAGTGTTTAGTCACCAGTCCAATTAACTAGTATCAACATTGCTTGGTAAGAGTCTGATAAAGTTAAAGCCTGTCTAAGCTTTGGGAGAGAGAGCAAGAGCAAGAAACAAAAATCTTTTCCTCAAGCTTCATGCAAGTTAGAAGGCTAGGAGGTAACTTCTGAGATTCATTTTTGGAATGGTATTTTTAAATTGAAGTTTGATTAGAACTATATAAGAGGCTAGAGAGAGTTTAGAAAAGCATTTGGAAAAGTAAAAGATGGTTTACAAAAGTTAGGGTCATTAGAGGCATTAATAGAAATGTATATGAGAACCAGTTTTTTAAATTATTTACCTTAAAATAAAGGTAGAATATATTTTCATTCTCCCCTCCCCAGCACCAGTTACAGAGAAAGTAGAAAATAATAGGCAGAAGTTCCTGAGAATATGATAATTGGACTTCCTTTTGTTTGTTTTGTTTTTTTCAATCTCCTGTTCTTAGGTTCTTTACTCTGTCTCCTCCTATGGTTCTCCCCTCCTCTAGCTAAGTGATTTAGACATAATTTAAGATTTCCCTCTTTGTAACCTACTGCTGGATTATATGGCATAGTACATGTGTGCAGTCAGTCTCTCTCTCTCTGTCACTCTGATATCAATTAAGGGCTGAACTTCCCTGTTCCCCTCTGGTAACAGGAACACAGTATCTCACTGACTGCTCATCCTTGCTCATTCTCTACCATCTGTGGAAAAGAGTCCCTTAAATATAGTTTGTATTTATTATCCTCAAGTTATATCACCTACTTAATTATTATACTTCTGAATAGATATTAATATTAACTCTTTTCTTTCTGTCTGCCTTTATGGAAGTCTGGGGATAAGTTAAAGCAAATAAAATACTTGCCAGTATACTGATAACAGATTTTTAGTGGTTGATTCATTTCTATCTGCTAACCATAAATGAATGTCTTTAAGTTTACCAAATATCGTCAATAACTCCTTCCCTGATATACATTTATACCCCCATTTTCTTCAGTAATCTCTTTTTTGCTTTCCTACAAGGATCATTCTGCCTTATAAGGTATCTGAGATTAGGTTCTTCAGCCAGTTAGTTCTCAAGCCATTTCCTGTTCTTTTTTTAATCTCATTTAATCCTCCGTCATCCCCCCTTTCTTCTGTTATCCTTGAAGTTCCCAGTTCCAGTCATTTACACTATGGCATGGCATTAAGTTAACAAGAACGTTTTAAATAACTTTTCCTGTTTCTGTCATTTATATTGGCTTTAGTTTCAGAATTTAGAAATAGTTAAAAATATAAAGGAAATTAAAATCCTCTGTCAGAGATGCCCACAGTTAACATTCCCAGATATATCCTTCCAGTTTTTTTCCCTAAGTCTGTAGACAGGTTTTAAAAATGGGATTATATAATACTATCTTATTGCATTTTATCCTTGATATTGTTAAACAGTCTTGAAAATATATTTTAAAATGTTTGTATTATATCCATCATTTGGATATATGTAACAGCTAAGAAATTCCTTATTTAAAGAGGAATAGTTTTACGTGACTTTGTACTTGATTTTCCCTTGTTGTGAAAGATAGCAAAACTTAGATGTTACTTTTTTTTTAGATGTTCCTATTTCTAAAAATAAATGAAGAATTAATTGTGTTATCAGGGAAAGAAACTAGGAATGCGATGAGGGAATTTGGGTATATATGCTAGTTGTATGACCTAGCGTGAATTTGAGCAAGGTCTTCTGAGCCTGTTTCCTCATCTGTAAAATTCAAAATTGATAATAAGTATTTTTCTTTCAAACAGTTGTTGAAAAGATCAAATGATATACCACACATAAAAGTTTATTTCAAGCTATGTGACAAATTAGCCATGCAAATGCAAAATGATTTTTAGTATGTGAGAGTCTTTCTCTAAGATTGATCCGATTTATTTTCTTAATAGGAACTCTGTCTAAACATCATTCCAACCTTTGCAAATCTTATAGACTACCCATCCATGAAAAATGCCTTGATACCAAGAATTAAAAATGCATGTTTACAAACGGCTTCCCTTGCTGTAAGTAATCGCATATTAATTTGTGTTTTTCTTTCACGCCTCATTGGCTTAAATAATTTTCTTATTGTTTAATAACCCTTTTATAGTTTGTTCATATATTTTGTCATGGCTATAAGTAGACTATATATAGTACTATGAAAGTGAGCAATAGCTGTAGTTTTCCGTGATACATAATTTTACAGTATTCCATCCCTGACATTACTCCCTGTCCCCTAACTTTGAGTGCTTCAGTAGAAAATTTGAGTAATTTTTTTCTTAACCCTTTTCTGCTTTAAGCCACAGTTTATTTTTTTCCCATCTTTCTTGCAGAAATGTGGTGCTTTTTGTTTTTTTAACCGTTTTCTGCTTTTCTTAGTTTACTTTAAAAAAAAAAAAGTTTTATTGATATTATGATCCTGACTAAAAGTATTCTAGCTTAACAAATTCTAGCTAAAAAAGTAGGGTGTGAGATATTTATCAAAATAGTCAAGAGAATATAGATATCACAATTGATAGAACTGTGATAAAAGAGCTCCTAAATATCAAGTTTTAGTAACTGTATTAAAGATATATTTAGAAATACAAAACTTTATGTAGGACAAATATACTTTTCACATGTTGTTAAAATATTTAGTTTAAGAATGATTTGAACCTGAATTAGAGAAAAATACTGGAAGCCCAGTAAAATTAATCACTTGGTGGGAAAATTTAGTCCTTTTGTTTTTGTTTTTGTTTTTTTTTGCGGTATGCAGGCCTCTCACAGTTGTGGCCTCTCCCGCTGTGGAGCAGAGGCTCCGGACGCGCAGGCTCAGCGGCCATGGCTCACGGGCCCAGCCGCTCCGCAGCATGTGGGATCCTCCCAGACTGGGGCACGAACCTGTGTCCCCTGCATCGGCAGGCAGACTCTCAACCACTGCCCCCAGGGAAGCCCAAGTCCTTTTTTATAATTCAAATGACCCCAAGGAAATATTCTTAGCAAACAAATGTGTAATAAAGCTTTTCAAATCCTAATTACTTTATTTTAAAATATATAAAATTAAAATCATTCCTTACCTTTAGCTGCCTAGTATCCTGGCAAAGCAATCAAAGATTGTTTCTGAAACAAGTCAGGGGAATTTATAAATATGTGAATTTTCTATATTAATAAAGGACGAGAGCTTTTAAACCTACTTTTATTCTTGAGGTTTTAACATATATCTATATGAAGATTATACTCATACTTAAAATATTTTGGTCTAGATTGCAAAGACTTTAAATGACTAATTCAGTTTATCTCTTTTAATAGGTACGTGTAAATTCATTAGTGTGCTTAGGAAAGATTTTGGAATACTTGGATAAGTGGTTTGTACTTGATGATATTCTGCCGTTCTTACAACAAATTCCATCCAAGGAACCTGCGGTCCTCATGGGAATTTTAGGTAGCTGAAAACTTAATGTCATTTGATGCTACTTTGTTTTACAGTTATGCAAGTAAACTTTTCAATCTATAAAACCATTTTGTACTCTTTTCATGTATATAGCATTCAGTAACTGAAGAATGATGGGGTAAATGCCGTGATATAACTTTTCTTTGTGTTAATTTTAGCAAAAGTGGTAGTACTTGACATTTGTAAAGTAATAAGATATTTGGGAATCCTGGCTTCACAGATATCATGATAGCATGTAGTTTTCTCTGTAAAATGGTACTAAATAAGAGAGGCAAACAAAACTACTTGAAATGCTGATACCAGTCTTAATAGTAATACCTGATGTTTATTTGGTACCTGATTTGTAAGAGGCACTGTGCTGAGTCTTTTCTCTGCATTACCTTATTTTATCCTCTTCAAAATCCCATGAGATAGGTACTGTTATTTCTGTTTTACGGTAAGGAAACTGAGGCTCAGAGGGGTGAAGTAAGTTATTCAAGGTTATACAGCTGATAACTGGTAGAGCTGGTTTTTAATTTAGATATGTTTAAATCTGAACAAATATTTTTCACTGCTAAGTGATGTGCCGATGAAGCATTGTTGGCCTTATAGCACATTCTATTCTATCAGCATAATTATAAATCACTCTGTAAAAAAAAACTCTGAAATTGCCTATAAATAATTAAAGCCAATCTGAAAATGTTCAGGGTCTGCTGTACTAATAGAGATAGACCTAGCTGTGGAATCACAGAAACATTAACAAGTTACTGAGCTTGAAATTCTTTGTTAGTTTTGAAGAAAAACTATGTTATTCAGCCATGTATCTTTAATACCTACTGTAGTGCCTGATTTATAGAAAGCCCTCAGTAAATATTTGTAGAAATGGTCAGTTGTGGACCTCTGTAGACATAGAACTTTTGTGATATGGTAGGACACTTTTGAGCTCAAAGAAATTAGTCTTCTTGAGAAGAAGTTTGACATAGTGGAAAGAGCCCTAACCCTAGTCCTGGCTATGCCAGTTCCTGGAGTGACTGAAAAGTTTCTTCATCTATCAAATGAGGATAAAAATAATATCATTATAGGAGTTTTGTGAGAATCAGTGAGACCAACTGAAGGGAAAGTAGTGAGCATAGTGCCCTGCAAATAAGCATTTAATGGGCACTCAAAGTTATCCTTTGAGTATGTAAGTGAAGTGTGCATTAACAGCAGAATAACAGGAGATGGTGTGTTCTAAAGCTTTGGATTCTATACAAAACACTTATAACACAAAAGCATTCAGAGAATGAGGAGCAAATGTGCTCAGTTTACCAAATGAAGGCTTTGTGCAATAGGTGTATCAAGCAGGGTCCTGAAAGTTGAGTAAATAGGTAAGACAACAGGGAAGGACTTGTGTGGAGTTGACTTAAAGTTCAGAGATCTTGAGTCTGATTGGTTAAAGAAGTGAATAAAGGTATAGGACCTATACTTAGACACTTTAAATAGATGTCTCAAGTTTGAATGAGATGTCTGAAATATATATTTAGATGTGTTCAGAATAGAGAGACATTCTGTAGCCTTACTGCTGCACTGTGAGAACTGTATCTAGTTCTGATAGACTTTTAATTTTATACTATCATTAAATGTGTTCTAAAACCAAAAGAATACAGGATAAATGTGTCATGGTATATTAAATCTAAACTGACAGTAAAGCTGAAATCACCCTGAACCATATATAAGAGCATCCTTCTTCTAAGCATTGATAAGGAAAAATTTATAACTATACTGATTATCAAGAGATTTCATATAGATACACTGTTTTTCTGATTTCTGTTGATTTGTGGTACTGAATTATAACATTTGTCTTACTCTTTTCTGTCAGGTATTTACAAATGTACTTTTACTCATAAGAAGTTGGGAATCACCAAAGAGCAGTTGGCTGGAAAAGTATTACCTCATCTGATTCCCCTGAGTATTGAAAACAATCTTAATCTCAATCAGGTAGGAGTAGTTTTGTGCTTTATTCAATTTATTCAGCTTACTGTTTTCTTGGCATTGAATGTATAAATATATTACATATAAATTGGTAAAACAAGGAAAAATGTGCCAAAGAGATGAATGAAGAAAGTTTGTGGGTTCAAAGTAAGGAGTATGTACGTTGGAAGGATGGATTATTGGAGGCCTAATTGGGAGATAGTAAATGAGCAGAATTTTGAAAGATGTGTAGGATTGGGGACTACTTCAAATTTGGGACTGTGAAATTGACATGAACAAAGGGGAAAAAAATATGTCTGGGCTGTGTATTCATTATTTATTTCTACCTCACAAATCACCACAACTTGCAGGTTTAAAACAACATAGATTTATTATCTCACAGTTTCTGTGGGTCAGCCAAGCCAGGGCATGTATGCTCTGCTCAGAGTTTCTCACAATGCTGCAGTCAAAGACTGAGGTCTCATCTGAATGCTCAGCTGGGGGAGGATCTGTTTCTAAGCTCACTCAATGGTCATTGGCAGGATTAAATTCCTTTTAGACTCTTGAACCGAAGGCCTCACTTTGTTGCTTTCTGTTAGCTGGTTGCCACTGTGAATTTCTTGTTTCATGGGCCTCCAACACGGCATCATCTGGTTTCATCAAAGCCAGAAAGAGTCTGCTAGAAAGATGGAAGTTATAGTCTCTTATAATGTAATCAAGGAAATGCCATCCCATTACCTTTGCCATGTTCTGTTGGTTACAAGCAAGTCACAGGTCCTGCCCATGTTTGAAGGTAGGGGATTACAGAAAGAGTAGCAGAATGAGGAGATAATTGGGACCATTTTAGAGTCTACCTGCCACAGGGAATGAATAATACAGTTTGAGAGATACCTATAATATAATCAGGGAGTGATGATATTAAGATAAATTGATACTAGAATAGGTAGACTTTCATTTTATTTTATTTTATTTTAGCCATGCTGTGCAGCTTGCAGGATCTCAGTTCCCCCACCAGAGATTGAACCTGGGCCACGATAGTGAAAGCCCTAGAATAGGCAGACTTTAAATGCTCATTTCGTTTAGGTATTTGAACTTTCAAGATGTGGTAAATATTTGAGCAAAGGGACTATGTACTCAGAGGTTATCATAGAATTACCTCTGCATACCTCTATCACTGTAGTTGTCACAGCTATATACTTGTGTGTCTGACTTTCCCAGAAGGCTGGTTGTTATACCTTATTCTTCATTACATCCCCAGTACTTAGTACAGTGCCAGAAACAAAAATTTTTATTGAATTGAGAGAAAATTTGAGTTACAGAGTAATGATAAGGCATTTTGTTCACCATAAAACTAATGTTTAATGATGTATAATGGAAAAGATGGGGAAGGGTTACTGTTTAACTGAGAGTGTCAGAAATGGATAGGCTGGCAAAGTTTGGAATTAAGGACTAAAAGTGAATTAGAGCAATGAAGGAAGCAGAAAGCTGAGAGTTAAGCAAGAGAGCTTTTGGCATAGGGGAGAGTGCTGAGTGAATGGAGTTTTCAAAATAGAGAAATTTGTAAAATTAATCAGATCCAAAATTTCATTTGAAGCGGTAGGGTAAGCCCCTGAAGGTTTGTGTCCTTAGATTTCAGTTTTTGTCTTGATAATTTCTTCATATCTTGGATGGCAGGGTTGAAATTAGGATTGGCAAAAAGGGAGGATGAATATTGGGGAAAAATAGAATGATAACATGCCTAAGATAGTCTTCAATTTTTGGTCACTTCTGTTCTTAGTTCTGATATTTATGATTTAGGGTGTTTTAAAATATTCTCAAATGCTTATTTTAGAATATATAATTATATTTGAAGTGTGTTAGTTTTCTTCAGCTTTATAGTTGATTTTTTGGGGGGGCCTATTTTCATCAGCAGAAATATTTAGATTCATATCATCTTGTATTTTACAGTAGTTAGCATGGATGTGGTCTGCTTTCCTATTCATTTCATAGACAGGGTTCCTAATTCAAGACTGCCCTCTTCTGTCAGTTCTGATTTAAAATAATCTAAGTATATTATATATTATGTGAAAAAGATAAAGTAACTTAGGAAAATACATTTTTAACATTTGATTAAAAAAGAGAAAATACCATGCAGCAATCCAAACACAATCACAACTTGTGTTGGGGGACGGTTCCTATGACCACCCCCAGATTCAGTGATTCACCAGGAGGACTCAAGCCTCAGCTAATTGTTGTACTCACAGCTATGATTTATTATGGTGAAAGAATATAAAGCAAAATCAGTGAAGGGAGAAGGTTCATGGGGCAAAGTCTGGGGGAAACCAGGCTCAAGCTTCCAGAGTCATCTTTTGGTGGAGTCACACAGAATGTGCTTAATTTCCTGGGTAATGACTTGTGACAGTGTGTCTGAAATATTGCGAGCCAGAGAAGCTCATTGGAGACTCAGTGCCTGGAATTTTTATTGGGGGCTGATCAAGTAGCACCTCCTGCCTGGTACTCAAATTCCAGTTAGGCACAGTGAGCCACTATTATCAGTTAATGGTGAGAACCTCCCAAAATCTGAGTTCCTGGACACCAGCCAAGGGCCAACCTTGCAAGCAGGCTTTTCCAAGGATAGCAGTGCAGGCCTACTATGTTAATGCTGCAACAATATAGATGAATCTCACAAACATTATGTTGAGCAAATGAAGCCAGACACAGAAGAGGATCTACTGAATGATTCCATTTATATGAAACACAAAGATGGTTAAAACTACACTGCTAGAAGTCAGAATAGTGTTTTGTCATATGGCGAGGGAGGGTAGGAAATGACTAGAAGGGGGCATGAGGACGCTTCTGGGGTGCTGCCAATGTTCTGTTCTTTTTCTGGCTACTGGTTAAATTCAGTTTGTGAATTTTTTGAGATGTGCCTTTATATGTATACTTTTCTGTGTATGTTATATTTTGTTAAAAAGTTAAAAAAACTAATCAGCAAAGAGTCAGTCATGGTAAACAGCTAAGGAAACATGCCTTTTGTTACTCTTATGGTCAGACAGAGGATAAATGGATGATAGAGCATGGTTGAGAGGCAGCATAACGTAGTAGAAAAGAGTACAAGCTTTGGAGACAGACTTAGTATGAATTCTAATTCTGCCATATAATTATTTAGTATTTCTGAGTAAGTTGCTTTCTCTCTTGCTGAGCCTGAGTTCCCTCATTTATAAAATAGAAATATTTATAAATTTACTTTGAAAAGTTGTGAGGATTAATAAAATAGTGTATTTATAAGCACCCAGCCCAAAGACGTAGTTGTAAGACTTGGGGAGGGGAAGAAAGCAGTTTCTAGAGTCTTCCTGTAATATGTGGTATTATTAAAATAAATTGTTTATGATGATCCTAAAGTACCATAAGAATTATTTAACTAGGGGCTTCTCTGGTGGTGCAGTGGTTAAGAATCCACCTGCCAATGCAGGGGACACGAGTTTCAGCCCTGGCCCGGGAAGATCCCACATGCCGAGGAGCAGCTAAGCCCATGAGCCACAACTACTGGGCCTGCGCTCTAGAGCCCGCGAGCCACAACTACCAAAGCCTGCGCACCTAGAGCCTGTGCTCCGCAATAAGAGAAGCCACCACAATGAGAAGACTGCGCACTGCAATGAAGAGTAGCCCCTGCTCACCGCAACTAGAGAAAGCCTGCGTGCAGCAACGAAGACCCAATGCAGCGAAAAACAAACAAATTAATTAATTAATTAATTTAAAAATTATTATTTAAAGTTTAACCAAAGCTTAAACTATGTTTAACTTTAAATTAGATATACTTTATGAATTTTAATTATTTGGAAGTTAGATTATGTATATTTAATATTTTTACTAACTTTTTAGAAAACAGGCTTATTTTAGCCAAACGTCATTTTTATAATGATCTGAATAAAGAGTAATTTTTTATGCATTATTAAGCAGATTGTTTTCAGATATGCACAAATTTAGATGGTCATTTTTGGATTAGTCTAGAAAAATCAACATGTAATAACTGCTGGAGTTGAATTTATATAAGACTGCTGAATAATAGCTGTTAGGCAACTCAGGATATAAAACTTATTGAGAACATGTTTTCTGGAACTTAAAAGTCTCATCAATGATATCACCACCATACAGAGATACTGTAAAAGCTTGCTATGATATATTGAGCTAAAATATACTATTCTTATATCATCAGTGCTATGAATGGGTCATATTCTGATAAAAATAGAGAATATTATGAATAACTTGTTGAATTATTTTATTAGATTACCTTTGTGGCTAACTTGAAATGTTATAACCATATCAATTTCTTATTACACCAGTTCAATTCCTTCATTTCTGTCATAAAAGAGATGCTTAATAGATTGGAGTCTGAACATAAGACTAAACTGGAGCAACTTCATATAATGCAAGAACAGCAGAAGTAAGTAGGTTGCATATGAATTGCACATGGTCCAGGAGTGACATTAAAGTTATGTCATGGTTGACTTTCTAGAATACGGACTAGAAAAATTGAAGGATTTCCATTTGACTATATGTAAAGCATATAAAAATTTTCCAACATATTAAGTTGAACTGAGTTTAAATAGAATGTTGTTGAAAATCTGATGTCATTTCTGAATACAGAAGCATAATAGGATGTAACCCTAGCGTTTTCTCTACATAAAGAAAATTCTGTTTCTAAGAAAATCTCTTGTCACATTAGCTACTGGCATTGTAAACTCGGGGTGCTGGTTGCCAAGAGCACCACTTAAAAATATTTTTCAAATCTGTGAAATCCTGGTGTTTTGATTTCTCCTTCTTTTTTCTCTAACCCCAGAAACATTTATAGAGAATTTATTCCATATGTAGTACCACAGCATGTACCTCTTTTTTTGTTTGTTTTTAGGGAGGATTTTCTAAATTATTTGCAAAATACTAGTATTCAAAGGAAGAGGGGAAGGGTAAAAATTATTCAGTGGAAAATGCCAGTTTTTATGATCAAATCTCCACTATATTCTTTGCTCCAGAGGCAAAACATGATTTTAGGATGCCTGTTAAAGTTTAATCCTGAGTCAAAGACATCTGAAAATCAGTAAAATTGATATCAATCATGAGCCAAGTCCCCCAAAAGAAACTTTTTAGGTTCTGCTCCTGTGTAAGATGAAGGCTTTATGGAAATAAATACACAAGGTGTAGAATGATGTGAAATAGCCCTTTGTATGCACTAAGTATTCTGTGATGTATATATTTATCATGTTTAATGGATTGACTATATTAACTTAGGAACCCTGGAAAATAATCTTTAAAAATTACAACAGAGAGAAATTTTCTATCATTTATACTTGAGGTGTGAATGAACCTTCTCTTTTTCTCCTTCCTATCTATATCTTACCTGTTTTTCAAGGCATAGATCTTGTCCACATCACTTATTCAGTGATTATAGCATTTATTGTTAGAATCACAGATTCTGAACTTAATCACATTAAGTTCCCATATCATATCTTGTCTCTCAGTGAGCTGTAAACTCTCCTATGGTAAGAACCATGCTTGCCTGGTTTTATGACACTAAGTTCTCCAGTAAATCTCAAATGCTGAGCTTTAAAAAAAAGACATGTGTACAAGTGTTCATTTTGGGGGCAAGCAGACATTAATAGTAGTAAATAACGAAAAAGATTATGACTCTCCTTAAAGAATGAAGTTGCAGTTTGTTTAGATTGTAGTAAATTCCATGTGGATGAACTATTTTTAGTACAAGTATTTTTAAAACATACATTTCTTTTTATTGCTTTGTCATAACTCAGCTCTCTCTTACAGATCTTTGGATATAGGAAATCAAATGAATGCTTCTGAGGAGACAAAAGTTACAAGTGTTGGGTCTCAGGTAAGAAGATATTTAGATTATTCTAATTTTTGAAAAAAAATGCTTGATAGTGTGCTCCATTTCGGGGGCCTCTGATCTTTAAGCAGTAAAATCACAATCTTGCACGTCATTCAGCTGGTTGACTTTTGGTATTTCAGCATATTGACAAAGTCTTTAACAACATTGGAGCAGACCTTCTGACTGGTGGTGAATCAGAAAATAAAGAGGATGGGTTACAGAATAAACATAAAAGAGTAAGTGTCTTTACTGTTCTTTTAGTACTCGTATTTATATTATATAACTTCTAAAACCACAGATTTTTGTTGGGAAATACTATTTAGCTTAATAAGAAACATTCTTTAATTATCTTTATGAAATTTAAAAGTTATCAGTGGGTCATGCATGACCTGACTCATGTTGAGAATAAACATGCTTAAGATTTTTAACTTCCTTTATTATTCAGTCTCCCATGTTGGTAACATTTCTAGGTTGCCTGACTTCTTTGGCCTTTCTACTGTACTTTGCTGGTTACATCCCTTGATAAATTCTACAGTGTCTCTTCTCTGATTCTGATTTTGAATAACAAACTTTAAAATGATACTTTCCAATTGAAATGTTGGTTAGCATCCGATATAAAAAATATGTCAGTTTTGAATTTCTGCTGAGGGCAGTTTTCTTCTGTTTATTCAACAGATATGAGTACCTGTATGTGTAGAACCAAGGAACTACTAGACATTGTGGTTTACAAAATTTAAGAGGACATACTGCGAGCTTATAGGTTGGCAAAGTTGATATAAGAAAAAGACAGATGTTGAATTTGATGCAGACATTAGCAGTGAAAGAAATTGTTCACGTTAAAAAAAAAGTTGTTTCATTTTTACTTAGCTTTTTGATGAGTTTCTAAAATATTTTTAGAGTAAGCTAGAATCTCCCAATTTTATAAAATGATATCACCTAATCATATTCTCATTGTCTGGAAAAAGATGATTCTAATGAATGGTTTTAAAATAATAATTTTATTATTATTTTCATACTGGAAATAGTTTAGCAGGGATCCTGTGAGTTTCTACCTAAAGTTAAATCTTATCGTAATTCAAAGTATAACTTACGCTGTGGCAATCACCAATACAGGAGTAGTTTGTAAACTACTTGGTATTGTCAGACATACCAAAAAGAAATCTTCTGTTTTACAAATGGAATTATGAAAGTTGTCAGTTGATTTTTTTGGTTTTGTTTTGTTTTCAGGCATCACTTACACTTGAAGAAAAACAAAAATTGGCAAAAGAACAGGAGCAGGCACAGAAGTTGAAAAGCCAGCAACCTCTTAAACCCCAGGTGCACACACCTGTTGCTCCAGTCAAGCAGGTCGGAGTTCATTTCTTTTGCATAATTCAAGCATACTACACTTTTTTTTTCTTCACATCTTTATTGGAGTATAAATGCTTTACAATGTTGTGTTAGTTTCTGCTGTACAACAAAGTGAATCAGCTGTATGTATACGTATATCCCCATATCCCCTCCCTCTTGAGCCTCCCTCCCACCCTCCCTATCTCATCCCTCTAGGTTGTCACAAAGCACCGAGCTGATCTCCCTGTGCTTTGCAGCAGCTTCCCAGTAGCCATCCATTTTACATTTGGTAGTGTGTATACATCAGTGCTACTCTCTCACTTCATCCCAGCTCCCCCCTTCCCTGCAAGTCTGTTCTCTACGTCTGCATCTTTATTCCTGCCCTGCCACTAGGTTCATCAGTACCACTTTTTAGAATTCCATATATAAGACATACTACTCTTGAGTAAGGTAGTATAGAACTTAGTCTACCTACTAGTGTTTTATAAAAATGTATTTCAGAAAGTACTTTAATGTGTAATTTCTAAGAAGTATGGGCATCAAGAATTTTCCAACAACTCCTCAATATATAATGTTTTGTAATGGTGCTTGTTACTGACAAAGAGGAAGCTAGATTAATGGGAGGGTTCTTAAAAAATATTAGGTCTATGGTACTAATTCAACACTGCTCACTTTGAAATGACCAGGAATATTATATTCATGCATTTATGTAGTTTTGAGCAAAAAGTAATTTTCAATTTTTAGCTTTTTTGTTATAGTCATGTTTGTGACTTGATTTAGGAATACTTACCTATATGTCCTGACCAGTATTTATTTCCTGCTATGGTCCAGGCGGTGTTCTAGGTGCTGGTGTTAGAGCAGTGATTAAGGTCTCTGCTGATAGAAAGTTTACACTATTAATATTGCAGAAATTACTTTGTCTTAAAAGCTTTCTTTAAATTTTGTTGTTGTTGTTGTTGTTGCCTCTTAATCATTAAATTTCTTCCTCTGGGAAAAATCTTTGTGAGCCAAGAGGCAAAAATAAAGTATTTTGTAGGTACTTAGAATAGAGAAAATAAATTTCCACAAAATTTTGATGAAATTCAAAATACAAAAATAATAGAGTATCCTTGTCTGTAATACAAATCTAATGAGAAAAATGCAATTCTGTTTTTTGGTGGAGGTGCAGCGGGGGAGACAACATTTCATTTAATTGGAGTTCAGAGTTGTGTTCCCTATCATCAGATTGATTACAAATGTTCATCCTTAAAAAGCCTTACAAAAATATGTGGCAGGGCTTCCCTGGTGGTGCAGTGGTTGAGAGTCCGCCTGCCGATGCAGGGGACACGGGTTCGTGCCCTGGTCCGGGAAGATCCCACATGCCGCGGAGTGGCTGGGCCCGTGAGCCATGGCCGCTGAGCCTGCACGTCCGGAGCCTGTTGCTCCGCAATGGGAGAGGCCACAACAGTGAGAGGCCTGCGTACCGCAAACAACAACAACAACAAGAACAAAAAAAATATGTGGCAGGCTGGATTTGGCCTGTGAGCTGTGGTTTGCTGTCTTAGTGTAGACTATTGAGCTTAATTTTAACTGTCCTTTATAATAAAATTTATCAAATGTTTACTAATTTTTAAGTAATTTGGAATTCTTGGAGATAAAGTAATTTCCTCATATTTTTCAGACTAAGGACTTGACAGACACATTGATGGATAATATGTCATCTTTGACCAGTCTTTCTGTTAGTACCCCTAAAATTTCTTCTTCAAGTACCTTCACTTCTGTTCCTTCCACGGGCCTTGGTATGATGTTTTCTACACCAATTGATAATACAAAGAGAAATGTAACAAACGGCCTAAATGCCAACATGGGCTTTCAGACTTCAGGATTCAACATGCCAGTTAATACAAACCAGAACTTCTTCAGCAGTCCAAGCGCACCTGGAGTGGCCAAGATGACATTGGGAACACCTTCCACTTTGCCAAACTTCAGTGCTGTGAGTGTTCCTCCTGCTGGTACGAAGCTGACTCAGCAAAGACCCACAGATATGTCTGCTCTTAATAATCTCTTTGGCCCTCAGAAACCCAAAGTTAGCATGAACCAGTTATCACAACAGAAACCAAATCAGTGGCTTAATCAGTTTGTGCCTGCTCAAGGGTCTCCAGGTGTGGGCAGTTCGGTAACGGGAGCACAGATGCACATGATAGGACAGTCTGCCTTCGGTGTGCAGACTAATCCTTTCTTTAACCCGCAGAACTTTGCACAGCCGCCACCTACTATGACCAGTAGCAGTTCAGCTAGCAGTGACTTAAAAGATCTTTTTGGGTGAGGTGTCATGCTCCTGTTTTTGAAGGATCACTTCAGTTTTAATCATGGGTAAGCTGATTTACATCTATATAATTGGCTTGGAGGAAGTACTTCTGTGGGAAAGTGAATGGTCTTGTCTGACAGAAAAAAACCTGTTGTCATGCCAGCATAGTAGTTGTATGGACTCTTTAACAGTTGAGGTTTTTAAAGCCTTGAGGATTTTTTTTCCTCTTACCACCTCCTCGTCAGGTTTTTAAAAGACCCAACACATATCAATCTCAATGAGAAAAAAAGACATCTGAGTATCTTGAATAGCAGAATTTTTAAATCAAATGTTTATTTTGGCTTGTAAATCTTGGTGTTATTTAAAAAATTGAGTTGATGGTAATTGCAAGTTTCATCTGTTAAATACTACATGGTACACAGTCTGCCTTCACAAGTCATTAGTCTTCATTTTTACTATGTGAAAAATCTTGATGCTGTATTGATTTGTTTGCATTTAGTGTGACTGAGTGAGAAAATGATAAGCCTAACGAAAAGGATCGGGTCATTTGCTTTTCCAATCTTATTACTTCTCAGATGAACTAATGTTTAGTGCAAAAGACTGAGCAAATACTGCAGAATTTAACTTAACCTTGATTTCATTGGTTCAAACTAAGGCATTATTAACTATCATAAATGCAAACTAATCATTGTAAATTATATTTTAGCATGGTCTGCCTCAAATAGTAATGTTTTTTTCTGCATTTACTTGGATATGTTTAGAATCACTTTTTTTCCTACTGTATCACAGACAGAAGAGGTGTGTACTGATTTGTACAGATATTTGACAAAGCCCTCTGATGTGCTTTCCCTGACTACTGCCTCCATATTTCATTTTGAATTCAAACTTCTGAGGTTGCAGCACATATGAATTGCATTTTCAAAAGGAGATTTGTAAGAATTAAACTGTATTTAATGAGTATACTTTTGAGATTTCTGCTGTATTGTTTCAAACGTAATAAACTTTACTTCTCTAAAAATGAGCACTTGTATCTTCTGGCTACTAACAGATTAATTTTCAGCTTGATACGTTATGAGAACGTCTGACTTCATCAGTTACTGCATCTGAAGTTTAAATCTTCTCTAGGAATTTCAGGACCCTTTGTTCGAACATTTTTATGTCCATAATTAGCCATTTTTAGGAAAGAAAGAATAAATTCTTCTAACAGGAAACATGCTTTCTTTTTCAAGGCCTTTCTCTAATATTTGTCTTTGATTTGCTGATTAGTCAACCATGGAATCTTATGCTATAGATGTCATTTGTATTTCGTTATATTCCATCATTATGTTACAACTTTAAACTGATCTTTCAGAGAACTATAAATGTATTATAATTGCAGCCATAGAGTTTGTGGTTTTTAATTATCTGAAACCAGCAATCATTTAAAATAAGTCATATGAAGTTTAGTGTGCTGAACTACATTTATTCATTGAAAAAATACGTATACACACACTGAACATACAGTACTTGATTATAAAATGTAAGTTGATAATATTGCTGGCAGCATTCAGTAAGAGGGTATGTTAAAAAATAAAAAGTCAGCTTAACATCTGGTTTCTGTATGAGCTGTATTTTGTTACATGGTTTTAGGAGAAGGACTGAGGAATGCTAAAGAAACTTTTCCAAGAAATGAAAAGCAGTAGGAAAAGCAGATGTTTTTGGCAAATACATTCATACCTGCACCTGATTATTTGTCTCGTTCGTAACACAATATCTATCTTGAGAAAAGTTTACATAAGGAATAAAACTGCTTAACATTGAAGAATTTTTCTTCGTAACAATTCAGTTGTCACAGTTCATTAGGAAATTGCTTTTTATTTTGTAAAATAACTTTGTCAGTGTTGAACTCCTAATTAGAAGGAAAACTTAATAGAACAGTTTATATACTTTGAACTTCTAAATATAAAAATAGATTATTTGAAAAAAAAATGTGATTCTTAGGTAATTTTCACGTCTTGAAATTTGTTCATTCATTGAGGTAACGATGCTACATTTTTAGAAGATTTTCTATACTTTTTTCTTACTTTCTTGAAGGTATTTTGTTTAAATCATTTCTATCACTCGAACTGTTACCATTGTCTTTTTCTGTTGTGAAACTGCCTCTAAAAAATAGTGCTATTTTTAGGCTTGTATTTTTCTCTGTGAACAAAATTTTCAAAGTACTAGATAGATCACCTTAAAATTACTGTAGATATTGACGGCATTTTAAGTCCCTTGTGCTTAGAGTAGAAAGTTAGTAGGTTAAAAAGCACCTGTAGACAAAAATTACAAGAAAGATTCCCTTTTATTTGAATTGGTTCTTTATTCTCCTAATGCTAAAGTGTGTGATATATTTAGAGGATGCATAAAAAGAAATGGAAATAGACTATGTACTTGGCTGGGGTTTGTTTGTTTTGTTTTGTTTTTATTTTGGAACACTTATAACCCTCTTTTCACCTGAATAAGTTAAGGAAATAGGTTTTTGTTATTGTTTTTTAACCTGTAAAATATCTCACATGGTTGCTTTTACATATTAAAGGAAAAGGGGGCTTCCCTGGTGGCGCAGTGCTTGAGGGTCCGCCTGCCGATGCAGGAGACGCGGGTTCGTGCCCCGTTTCGGGAGGATCCCGCGTGCCGCGGAGCGGCCGGGCCCGTGAGCCATGGCCACTGAGCCTGCGCGTCCGGAGCCTGTGCTCCGCAAATGGGAGAGGCCACAACAGTGAGAGGCCCGCATAACGCAAGAAAAAAAAAAAAAAAAAGGAAAAGGTATATGTGAAAGTACCTGATAGCAAGTACAGAGTATGCACCAAATAAATTTCGGCTTTGATGAAACTTTCCACATTAAGTTGTGATTTCATGCTTTGTTATTTACTGGTCTTGAAATAATTTTAGAACAAAACAAATCTGTAAGAATTCAAACTGTATAGGATTTTAAGAGATTATGTTGCAGGCTTTCAAGCTATAACTGTGACACTCAGTAAGAAATATATCTTACATTACAAACCCAGTATATGAAATTTATACCTGAAACAAAAGTTTCAGAAAATCTTTGATACATATAGTATACTCTGTTTTTTTTAATTATATCCTACTAATTAAAAAAAAAAACTGGTTACAATCCCTAACAAGATTTCATGATATAGTTTAAGTAAAACTGAAATAATTCAACACCATGCAGATGTAGAAACAGAGGGTCAGAGATTTACATGCCCTAACCCAAGAAAGTTAGAGCCAGGAATAGAAGCTAGATTTTTTTTTTTTTTTTTCTGATCTGCAATCCCATGCTTTCTACCATTATATCCTTTATTGTATGAATTCTGGAGTTGCTTTTGTCAAAATGGCTTAATATAGTAAGTATTATGTGTTCAGTACTTATTTGGTACCATAAATATATTTACATTGGAAAAATTGGCATTGAAGAGGAAGAGAAAGATGATAGAACGGAAATGTTCGTGGTCAAAATCAGCCTCTGGGCTGCTTCTCTGAACTGTGGATGAGATGGTTGGGGGAGACAGGTTAGCAGTGCTTGCAGTACCCAGACATGTAGTAGAATTAAAGCATATAACCTTGAGGAGGGGGTGCCATAGTGGAAAAAGCCATTTCACCAAAATGGAGCTTGTTAGATATTAGAAACTTCTATCCAAAGCAGCCGAGTTGCTGTAGCCACTCAGAGAGGACTTAACTACCTGGAGTGCAGAACACATACGTAATTTAAAATTTCCTAGTAACCACATTAAAAAGTAAAAACGGATGAAATTAATTGTAATAATATATTTTGTTTAACTTAATACAGCCAAAATATCTTTTCAACATGAATTGATACAAAATTTAATGATATATTTTACGTTCTTTTTTGTACTTAGTCTTGAGATCCAGTGTATATTTTACACTTAGGACATATCAATTCAGGCTAGTCACATTTTGAGTACTTGATAGCCAAGTGTGGCCAGTAGCTCCTATGTTAGATATGTAGGTATATATGGAAGGTCAGACGCCAAAAGAGTGAACTCTGGCAGTTATCAGTTTACTATCTCCCTGCTCCAAATCCATCCTTCTCTGCCCTGCTTTGTGATACTCGAGCTGGATCCTGTAAACGCATCTCCCTTGCCAGCTTGACAGAATGTTAGGCTTCGTCGGTAGAGGGTCCTGAAGTGGCACTGCAAAGCAATAGCAGTAAGAAGTCACTTCTGGATTCTGCTTCTCCATTTTTATTCACTGCAGGAGCCCGGCAGCCCCAGCAGAGGACCCCAGGTGTGCCTCAGTCACACTCTCCCACTTGGAAGCAGCTCCAGTGGGCTGCTTTCGGCCACTCCCTCAAGCAGCTGTCTCCCACTCTGGCCCTCTGACAAATGTCTTCACCACTGGTGGCTGAATGTACCTGTAGAAACCACGCCTTCGCCGAAGAAGGTGCTCAGCTTGAGGGGTTGGAGTGGGGAAGAGAGCCTCTCCTAGTCTTTAGTTCCTTAATTTTCTTTTTACTTTCTCCTAGCCTAGAGGTAGTAGCTGCCTTTTTTTTTTTTTTTTTTGCAACTGTTACTTCTGAACTCCTTAGAGTCCTTTTTTATGCCTTTTAAAGGCATAAAAGGACTAGTAACTTCTACTAGTTGACAATTCATTAAAATTTCCCTGTTCAAATGTCTGGTTTTGTCTCCTAAGCTTACCTTCACTGATAAGACTCCGCAGTCTATTAAGCCATTTAAAAATGGGGCCAATATGAAATAAGTCAGACAAAGACAAATACAAGTATGATTTCACTTTTATGTGGAACCTAAAAGACAAAGGAAAAAAGAAAACAAAACTCACAGAGAACAGATTGGTGGTTATCAGAGGGGAAGTGAATTGGGGTAGTTGGGCAAAATGGGTGAAGGTGGTCAATTATAATGTGACACATATTAACTAGGCTTATTATTGTAATTATTTTTTAGTGCATACAATAATTGAATTAAGTTTTACACCTGAAACTGATATGTTATAAACCAATTTTACCTCAGTAAAACATAAAAAGTTGTCCAAAAAAAAAAAAGGGGGGGCCATAGGATGGATATATGTGTTGCTAACAAAAGCTATAGGGAATTGTATATATGTAGCCTATATTAAAACTTTCCTTTCTAAAAGTTCTTTTGAAATGTGCCTTGAGTGGAAATATGATTTAGCTACTCTATACCTATTTGAGCAGTTCCAATTTTCATCTTTCTTTTTTTTTTTTCCTGTATTTTGGATATATGTTCTTTTTGTGGTGGCCTAGGTTGCTAGGAAACCCAGTGTTTGGCTTTCATATGAGAATGAGACTCTAATGTCCAGAGCTTGCATGTAGGAATCGGCATTCATGCAGGTCCCTTCCGAGTCCCTGCCAGTTTTTCTAAATGCAATGATCAAACAAAAGTCAAATATGGGGCTTGTCCACGGCGCATTAGGAGCATAGAGTGCATGGACTTTGGAGTCAGATAAAGTTGGGGTTTGGTGGGGGGCATATTTTTTTGAAATTTCAGGCTAAAATTATAGCATTTATGCTCTGTGGAGGTGGGATGGGTTGCTTTACACGTTTGTTCAGTTGGAACAGATCCAAAATAGTTTTTAAGAAAATCTTGTCTCTAACAGTGGGGACTCTTAAGATCACTTTTGTGGAGAGATGGAAAGGCGTCTCACTGAGTGGTATCCTCCTTAGACTGCTCCAGTGTCAGAAGGGGATGGTATCTTTATCCCCAGCTCCAGTGATCATACAGACCTGCCCCTAATCAGCAATGATATCTGTACCCAGATACTTGTCAAAGAACAACATTTAACTCTCTATTGCCCAACACTGAAAATCTCATTTTTGAGAAAGTTTTATGGAGGAGGCCAAAAATTGAGTAATCTATCCATTTCTTTAGAAATTCTGAATGAAATTAAACCCACTGTGGAGACCTTTGTGCCTGGGTTGCGTTGTTTTGGCCACACATCAATTTCTGTTACTGCACTTAGCTTTGGACTGTATTATGAAACATTCATGCCAA